AGCGCGTCTGCCGTTCTTTCCCGATTCCCTGCGCTCACGCGCTGACATTTCTGCTCTCTCTCGTTCTCTCTTCTCTCTCTGTCTCTCTCTCGTTCTCTCTCTCTCTCATACTCTCGTCTCTTTTCTCTCTCTCTTTTCGCTCGCTCTCTCTACACACTGTCGCTCATTCTCGTTGTAGCTCACTCTATAGTTCTCTCGTTCTCTCACTATCTCACTCTTTCTCGCGGTCTCCGTTCTTTTCCGATTCCTCGCTTCACGCGCTGACATTCTCTCCTCTCTCTCTCTATCTCTCTCTCTCGCTCGCTCTCGGCTTCTCTCTCTTCCTCTCTCTCTCTCTCTTTGCTCTCTTCTCTCTCGCTCTCTCTTTTTTCTCTGTCTCTCTCTTCTCTCTCTCTCTCTCTCCTCTCTCTCTCACTCTTTCTCTTCGCTCTCTTTCTCTCTCCTCTCTTTCTGCTATTTCTCTCTCTTTCTTTCCCTCTCTCTTCTTCTCTCTCTCTTTCACTCATCGTCTCTCTCTTTCTCTCCATCTCTCTCTCCTCCAGTCGTTACAACCGCACCCACGTATAGAAGTGTGGCTACGGCGCAATCAGATTTAAGAGCTGCCTGGACTTGCCAGCCTCTTTTGCGACGCGCGCGAAATCAGTATAGGACGAATTTCCGATGCAATTCGTCTTGCGCTCTCAGTTGGTTGAGAATTCTATAGGTACCCCGTCACGGACTGGTGTGTGTGCGTGTGTTGGTGTTGTGTGTGTGTGTCGTGTGTGTGTGTGTGTGTGGTGTTAGTGCGTGCGTAACCCACTGCGTGTGTGCGTGCGTGCGTGCGTGCGTACGTGGTGCGTGCTTGCGTTGCGCGCGTGCGTTGTGGTGTATGTGAGTGTTCGTGTGCGTATGTGTACGCGCGTGCGTGCTTGGGGGCATACGTGCGTGTGCGTGCGTGCGTGTGTATGTGCGTGTCCCTGTGTGCGTGTGCGCGTGTGTGTCTGCGTGCGCGCGCAGCAGATATAGAGGCTAACTATAGTTACGGCTGCCGGGGCGAATTATGTGGCGACCGTGAATAATAATGTCATACTATGGTAACCAGATACGAACGCATTTTTTCAGCCCTACTTGAAACGACCGACCCAGTTCCCCAGACTCGCTAACCGGATCTAATCTGACATCTCGATTACAGCAAGGGCATTTCACTTAGGGAGTTGTTAGCACAGCTTTCTATAGGAATAAGATAGACAGCTCGTGCATAACACCAAGAGCTAAAATCAATAATACATTATTGTAATATTGTATCATTATTGTAAAATGATAACATTATTAGATTGCATAATTTTGTATTATTAGCTCTTGATAACACGCCACTCGTAGGCGATACCTGAGGGGTGGGGCAGGATATGAATAAATAAATAAATAAATATATATACATGTCTAGCACTCGTACGGGCAGACTCGGTAGACAGACTAGCTGACATGTGAACGATGGCTGCGTGTAATATTTACGCTAATCCAGTTAGAATAGCTTAGCCTACCAGCAAGACGGACAAGACAGGAAGACAAGAAGACAGGAGCAAGATGGGGCAGTTTATCTCTCGGACATGGATGTTAGGATAGCTGACTAGAAGCATGATGAGGCAGTTTATCTATCGGACAGGGCTGTTAGCACAGCCTACTAAAAACAAGATGGGGCGTTTTATCCGATAGGATAGCTTATCAGTTACCAGGAACAAGATGGAAGCAGTTTATTTATCGGACGGGTTGTTAGGATATCTTAGCAGGAACAAGATGGAGGTATAGTTTATGCATCTGACAGGGCTGTTAGAACAGCTTACTAGAGCAAGCTCATTAGAAGGAGATGGACAGTTTGTACTGACGGTAGGATCACTTGATGGAATAAGCAGGAAAGTCTTATACTCGGGATAGGGCTGGCAGAATAGCATATACACTATATGATATAGGTTTCTTGTACATATACGGCATAGCTGTATAGGTATAGGATAGCCGACTAGGCTCTCATTCAGCTAATACGATATCGTTTATATTTATATACATATATACATAGCTGCTTGCTGATGCACCGCACCCACACACATGATATGCCCACACACACGATATGCCCACACACATGATATGCCCACACACATGATATGCCCACACACATGATATGCCCACACACATGATATGCCCACACACATGATATGCCCACACAC